GGTTGATTTCCTGGCTTGATGTTAATGGTTGAGTGGGGGGTATGCGGGGCCAAAAGGTTGCAGATTGTGTTGGAGTATGCCTAATGGATGGCCAGTCTTGAGTTTCTAGATCTGTTTGAAGTCTGTCCTATTTAGAATGATGACCATGCCACATAACACAGTGTAAGGTATTCTCAGTGTAAAGGTATCCCCAGAAGGACTATGCAGTGGTCACTATTATTGGTATTGTCATGGACAGATGCCATCAGCAGATTGGTGAGAATGAGATCAAGTTTGTTTTTCCATCATATTTGTTCCACCACCACATGCTGCAGACCCAGTTTAACAGCTCTGTCCTTTCTAACCCGACCAACTTGATCAATAATGCTGCTGACAAACCACTCTTGGTGTTAGACATAGAAATCCCCCAACCAGAGTCTATCTTGTGCCTTTACTACCCTCAGTACTTCCTCCAAGCGTTGTTCAACGTGGTGGTGTAGAGATTTGAACAAAGAAGCACTGGAAGTTTGTGACTGTGAAAATCATCTGTCCATTTCCCACTAGAAATAGCACTGCAATGAATCTTTCCTCAGTTTAAAATCACCAAACAAATTGAATGTCAACCATGCCTCAACTGTACTATGGTAACAACATAACATGTGAAATGAAACTTATCAAATTTAAACCAAAATACCAATTTTCAGGGTGGCAATGCACTGCTGCCCTTGCAGTGCCCACCTTACCATGAAAGTGTACCAGTGAACATCATGTCTTCCCTCTCCAGAAGTGAAGACTCTGAACTGACAGATGTCAGTGACCTACTAAACTAGATTTCTACACCAAACAGTCAACCAATGAACAATGAGAGGCAACCTTCTTGAAATATACAAGATTCTTAGAGATCTTGACAGGGTAGATGGAAGAGTTTGTTGTCCCTTGTGCAAAGTCGATGACCAGATGGCACAGCCTCAGGATAAGCGGTTACCCATATGTCAGGGATGTGGAAGAATTTCTCCTCCAAGTCAACAGTGAATCAATGGAATACTTTATCACAGGATATAGAGGTTGGGTCATTAAGCATATTCACGGCAGACTTTTCAATAATCAGGGAATCAGGTTAAAAGGTAGCAAAGTGGAGTTAGGGACTACAAGTTCAGCCATGATCTAATTTAATGACTCAATGCAAACATAGCTACCACAAAAACTCGTGTTCTGCACTGAAAGAAAATTGGAATATTGTTTTCTACAATTGAAGATACAACATTAGGGGGCGAGATTTGTCAAAGCAGCAGCCTATCTTATACCATATGCGATTTTCTCTTTAATTTATGTTAATTAAAAACTAAACTGGGCACAATGTCAAATAGGCTGCTGACTCACTATTACTCACTTTGTGCCATTACTGTTGCCAAATTTTACTGCATTAATGTATTTTTCATATATTCTCACTGCTCACCCGGAAATAATATACAATATTTAAAATATTCCTCACAAAGGTTTGAGTAAACCATGTGCCATTCCCCATGCAACTAATTATTGATCAAATTATACCTGATATTATCGATGTGTCAGGACGGTCAAATTTAATGTAAAAGATAATTTGACAATTCATTAGATCCTCGACCTACAGGCTGCAATTTTATTCTCCACTCAGGAATGGATTGATAGGTAGGGAAATGAGGGGGTGGGGATCGTGTAAAGTTGTGTACAATGACAATAATGTAGTACTCATCACCTTCTGAACACAGCTCACCCACACACACCAAAGGGCTAGCATCAGGCAGTCTGCTCATCCCTTGACCAACCGAAGCCCTTAAATGGCCTCTTGGTTGAATAGCAACCCGTTAGAGATCCCCTACCACCACTAACCCTTCCATCTCCACCTCTGCAATGTATTCCTCCCTCTGCTCCCCACCCTCCCCCACTAAACCCCTCCCCCCATCACATTTCCTCTTTCTTGCCCTCTTCCTGTTGATCCTGGTCCCGTAGCCATCCCTGAATAAAATGGAACCCGTCTACACAGAAGACCTTTTCGTTACCATATAATTTTATTTGCTTTACTCACTAATTCATTTAAACTTTGCTAATTAAAATTTACCTTTTGTATGTGAACAATTAAAGTTGAGTTTTAAATTTAAAGTGAGAAAATAACTTACTGTATCACAGTTTTTATTTCATTCCAATAGCCATTTAAAAGTTTTTCTCTGTAGCATTACTTCTGGAAACTCCTGTTGATTACTTTTCCTAAGCTTCAGAACACTTCAGCCATACAATAAGTTGGTAGAAGAAAGATCTTGTACCAATCTCCCCTTCTTAAATCTTTGGAGTATTCCCTCTAACAATAAGCTCAGCATTCATCAATGTCGCCTTTAGGCTTCAGAGAAACAAAGATGTTAAATCTACTGTGGAGTCGTTCTCACATCACTTCTCTATGGCGATGAGACATGAGAACTTCCTTGTGTCACAATATATTTTTGCTGCTTGAGATCCAGTTGCAAAATCAATTGGCAGGACATACCTAGTACTGTGAAGCACGCTCATCAGAATTCAACTTTGATGAAAATCTTCACATGGAAGACTCCCATAAACCAAAAGTAGTATTCTACAGCCAGCTAAACTTGGGAACCTGCATCATAGGATATGCTAAACTTATATACAAAGACATTCTGAAAGCCAATCTTGGAGGCTGAAAGTGGGATCCTGCACTGATTCAAATGGAGAGAGATAGTAGGAACTACAGATGCTGGAGAATCTGAGATAACAAGGTGTAGAGCTGGATGAACACAGCAGGCCAAGTAGCATCAGAGGAGCAGGAAGGCTGACGTTTCAGGCCTAGACCCTTCTTCAGAAAAATTCTGATTCAAATGGAGACAGCTTTCTCATTGAGCAATATCAACATTTGAAAAGAATATAAAGATGGATTACTGAAAAAACTCAGCATATCTGGCAGCATCTGTGGAGAGAAAGCAGAGTTAATGTTTCGGATCAAGTGACTCTTCTTCATAATCAAAGACTCTTCTGAAGAAGGGTCACCAGATGTGAGCCATTAGCTCTGCTTTCTCTCCAAGATGCTGCCAGACCTGTTGGGTTTTTCCAGCAACTTCTGTTTTTGTCTCTGATTTCCAGCATCCGCAGTTATTTGGCTTTTTGTAAAAAAGAATAAGTCAGGCAAGCATGAAGCAAAGCCAATGCCTTCATTCACCCTTCCAATACTGACCATATGTGAGAAATGTAATCATATCTACAAATCATGATTTGGTTTGACATCACTTAAGACATCATCAATCTGGATAAAGAAAACTGGAATTCATATTGAACACACAGCTATTGAAGCGACAGGAGCATCCATCACTTCTGTTGGTACTTTTTCTTTTAACACTAATGTTTTTCCCTTCTTCCAACATCATCAGTTTCTACTGGGAGAAGGTTCCACAGCACCAACTGCACCTCAACGTCTCTCCCAAATTATCATCATTTACTTGTGAACCTTGAGAACAAGTGCCATCAGGTTATTGAAATACAGTAAGACGATCTCATCCGCAGCATCCATCCACATGTATATAAACTCCACAATTCCACCTGGGATGATGAAATCTTGATTGAGGTGAGAAAAGTAACTGAGTTTTTTTTCTTCCCTAAGTAAGGGATGGTGAGACCAAAGCAGCAATCCCACTGCTACCCTTGTTAAGATCGCTTTAGCTCAGCTGTGAATACTGAACAGAGAATATTTTTTGGGTTCTATGATTCAACACTGTATTAATTCTCCAATAGTTGGACGACAATGATTGATTTGAGTTATAAAATTAAGATACAAAGATTAAAATTGGTCAGGCTTGCTTACTTCCTGGATTCTGATGATCCATTTTAGACCTCTCAATACTGATTCCTGCTTGAATAAAATCTTCTGAGCAGCCAAATAATCAAAATGTAAACAGTGAGCTGGTAATTCATTTCAAAAGCAGAGATCAAATTACTATCAAAATTATTTATCTCATTCCTAAATTAAACATTTTTTAAAATTGTTAATTGTTCTCCCTGTCATGGCTCTTCCATTCCCTTAAAGCACTCAACACTGTATATGTTTTTTTAAGTAAAGTCACTCACCAATTCTAAACTAGCTAAAGAATATTGATGTGTGCACCTTAACAATAGGTATGAGCAGTTTTCAACTACAGGGCTATCATAACTGGGACTTATCTCTCCTGTCATCAACACAAATCTTCCAGCTAGAGCTAAGTATTTTCTTTCCTAAAATCAATGAAGCCAAATGTAGAACTTATAGTATAATCACACTTAAGATTAGCTAACTCGTATTTACTTCTGTAAAAATATGACTAAACTATTCACTAACTAAAGCTGAAAAGTGCCAGGAGAGTTTGTATCGTCTGTAATTAATACAACTGTAATCATTTTCAATTAAAACCATTTCAAGTTAATTTAAATGTTGATCTTGAAAGTGATATTTTAATGTTTTCTTTTCAAGTGAACTAATATGACACACACATTTGTCCAATTTTGTTTTTATTCAGGACTTCATCCTTTTTGTTCCTTCAAAAACGCTAAAATCAATTATTCCAATGCTCATTAAATATAATTTAGAAACATACGGTTCAAAATAAAACAATGACATCTGCAGTTAAATTGTGCTGAATTTCAAAAGGGATGGTGTTCTGTCTGTTGCAATGTGTCAGTAATTAAAAATAGAATGTTTTGTTGAGATAATTAAATATTATAAAAAATAAAGTTACAAACATGTCAATCTTCCAACATAGAGGGAGAATCATCTTTTAGTTTCCTAAACTGTTGTATCCGACAAGCAGATAAGAATGTTATGATTAATACAAACAGGCAAATACATAAATATCAATAGCCTTACCTTTGGGATCTTGTAATGCATTAGAACATCATAACCACATATTTAACGTTTAGGCAACAAACAAAATACCATTTTTACGAATGATTTAAATGGCCATTAAAATTATACTTTTTAATTGTTCCAAAGAAAGCAAAACATTTAGTACCTTTTATTTTACCTATGGAATTGATGGAATGGTTCCATGAAGTAAGCATTATTGAATAAAAAAAAGAGAAACATTTTAAGTTTCATGATTATATGCAAATGCAACTAATCATCGCAACAAAATATATTTAATATGTAAGCATACAGGTGTAGCATGAACATATTATGTTAAAATGGAAGCATGAATTCCATGTTATGAAGGTAATTTTCTGTTGGGAGATTTATGTATTCAAAACACCTGTAGAACCATGATTTAACTCACTCAACATAAATAAAAACATTGAAAGTAATTAAGAGTGAAATTAAGTGGTTGAATTGCTTGCAAAACCATTCCTCCAGCATTCCAACAGCCTGGTTAGGTGCATCGAACATACTTTCAATCAGCCATGCATCTCTGTTAATGGGTGAAGCACACTGCTACACACATGTTGCAATATGGTGTAACAATTTATCACACTACAAGCTAAGAGCAGGCACTAGTAGTGACAATACCACCTGATACAGAAGCAAGCATAATTCTGAACATTATGACTTCAAGCACTCCAAACTAACTATACACTCAAGTAAATATTTTTAACATTGCTTTAATTATTTTTAACACTGACATTTTTACATCAATTGATCTCACTTTCTCCTAACTGGCACAAAGACAAAGACAAAGCAAAAAGCTTGACTCAAGTGCAAAAAGAAAAAAAAAAGACAGATTCTCTTGATACAGCCAAAGTGGAAGTATAAACTTTTGTAGAATTATTTATAGAGAGAGGTTAAAGACAACTACTAATGGTGGGGGGGGGGGGGGAAGAGAAGGAAGCACAGTGGAAAAAAGGAATGGAACCCATACCTTGGTCGCCCATCATCAGGTGCGCCAGACCTTGAAGGGAAACAAGAGCACAGTCAGCAAAGAACAAGGGCATGTGGGAAGAGGTATTGTCACAATGACAAAAATGTTTTGTGACAGACATCTGTGTTGTATTAGATGTCTTTATTACAGGGAAATTTAAAAAAGCATTTTTCAACCACCGGTTGCAATGCATTGGGACAAGATCAGAAGAATGAAGAAATGATTCTGATAGCATTGGACAATTCCGAGATTTTCCACATACACATATCCACATTAAAAGAGAACAAAGGCTTCCAAAGGAACTTTTGTAACAGGAACATCCTTCTACCCTACATATTGTGCCAAAAACATTGTTTCACAAGCTGTTAGTCTGCTTTCAGAAACACGTAATTTCAAGAACATTTTAATCATGATTTATGCTAAAAATATGAAAAAGAAGCACTGAGTAGAGATATTATAAACACTGTTCGCAGTACTGGATTCCAAATTGTGCTCCTTTCTGCTTGAACATTCTTAAGAGCCTTAAGTGTTGCTTTGGATAGTTTTACATCAAATGCATCTTGAAACTGGGCCATAAGTGAGAGTTATATTCAATTAAAATAGTACCTCCAAAGATGTATGGTTTGCAAATTGATTTTCGAAGAAGTGAATTCAAAATGTTCTCATCGAGCCTCGCATGAAAAGTAAATTCATACTAATATGGGTAAAATAATGAGAATTGCTTTGTGTTGTTTTATAACATTATTAATATCACTGTTTTTAAGTCAAAATGTGGATAAAAAACATTGACAGCTCAGGCGAGAAGATAGGTAGAAGCAGATCAGCTGAGTGTACATACACCAAACAATGATTCCTTTGTTTGAAATCAATGGCAAAGAAAATGGACAGCTACAGGTTTGCAATTGCCAATTTTGCATTCCAGTAATTAATGTTAAAATGTACACACAAATTGTGATTTAAATATTTGACATGAACATATAGAAATCAAGTTTCAAAATGAAATTGTTGAAAATTGAGTAAAATGTTTTCTGATTTTTTTTCTTAAATTTTACTTTCAAATAGTTATGGCTCAAAGTACATTTTATATCAGATTTTGCAGTTGCCATTTCAGGAAACCCACTGTTCGATGTACAGCTAAGGAAACGTAATTACTGTGTTGAAATTCATTAGCATGATGGAACCGTCCAGTGTAGCAAAGAAATACAACTGACTGAATATTGGTGATAAAACAAAAACTTGTTTAGCTATCCTATATTGTTCTTCATAACTTAAAGGATATGTTTCTGTGTTGAAATTTTCAATTACAAAACCTATTTTACAGCTCCCAAATTAATTCTCACCAGTTTGGAAGTCTATAAACCCTAAAACAGCTAGTTCCCAAAAAATGCAGGAGCCGATGTAATTCAGTCTGCTACCTTGTCTATGACTGCTCATGATTCTTGTGCAGACTAACAGAAATAATTAATCTAAGGGTGTTTCATATTTTGTTGCTTTCAAGTGTGGTTTTTCTATTCCAATATTTCATGAGAAAATTGCATATTAAAAAAAAGGATTGTGACTTAATGATTTCCAAAGATGTATTTTGAATACCAATGTAGTGATATTAAGCAAGGCACATTCATTCAATCAATGGATATGGTAATTGATGACTTAAACAAGATCTCCAAAAGTGTCAACGTATATTTTAAGTGTTAGAAAGTAAATAGTTTTGGTCCATTTTGGAATATTGTTTCATGAACTGCATTACTGTCTGTGTATTCAAACCATTAATAGGAATGCATATTATTCAGATTCATTTGTAGTTTACATATCAGGATGCAACTGATGCACTGAGACAAGTTGAAAGTCTTATTTCTCATTCCTAGAGGTGTTTAGTGTTTTTCATAGGAATAGCATTTGGATTCATATGAATGCAAATACCATTCATTTTCACACTTATTAAAACGTCATCTTCTGGCTCAGAGTTAATATTATAATTTCAATCCTCATTAAGTAAGCAACTTCAAAAATTAGATTAGATCAGTAATGGGGCTGATTTTTAAAAAATGGGAAAAAAATGGTGCAACTAGTTTTAATCAAGTGAAATGCATTTGTTCCTGAAGTGTATTTAAGTATTATTATGAGGATTACACAAAAGATTTGCAATAATGTACTGCCAGAAAATTTCAGATTGAATCAACATTACACATATTTGATGTTTTTGCAATGAAGATATGTGATCCAAATATAAACTAAAAGGTCATATGGCTCCATATAAAGCTATATTGAACTGTTAAACAAAGGGTACATCAATAAGGAATATCTTTTGGACACAATATTGACAATACTGCAGCTGCAAAGGTGCAGGGAGCTTGAATATGGCCGTCCGGCCTGATGTGCTTTCACAGAGAAGTTACGTGGCCCAGTTTCTGAATGGGATATGATTAGTGCATTGTTGAAATGAGTAAGAAAGGATTGACCTGCCTGAAGAGCAACAGCCTATTGCTCCAACTCAGCAAAGTGCCTGAGCTGAAGACCCACCAAAAGCCATTGTTGTTGTTCAAGGAGTTCCTGAAGAAGTTCTTGGAATCAATCCACCATCTGAAGAATTCCGCCAACTACAACTGTTCCAGTAAGATACCCCAGCCCCAGCAGCTTGTGTGTGCAAATAGTGTGAAAATCAGAACACCATGTGGGATGATCCATGACTTCCTTTTTTTCCTCATTAATTTAACTATTAGTTGGTGAATTACCTTAAAGCTAACATAATATTTTGTTTCATCTCAGACCTGTGTGAGTGCTAGTTATCTTCTTAAAAAGGCATAGAATCAAAATTCTTTTCATCTTTGTTTGAATATGTTTGTGTTAGATAATAAACCAATTGTTTGTTGTACACTAAAGAAATCTGGCTGACATTTTCTTCATACTGAAGCTGACACAGTTGGAGAACAGTATAATGGCCATAACACCAACCTGGTTAAATTTAAAACTTGTGGAGATCCATGAAGGACTGGGACTAGAAAAGAAAATGGTGATCCCTCCAAACTTTGCTTTAACATATATTTGGGGGCTCATTGACTATTAAACTGCCAATGAAGATTGTGAAATAGCCAAAGTAATTTGAAGTGGTGGCAATAATTTTAAAAAAGGAAAATGCCAATCTAGGTTTCTTGCACATTAAAATAAAGATCATATGAATCAAAATGTCTAATTTTTAAGTAAGTGTGTTTTGTAGCAGAGTGAGGTAACTGTTAATATTTTTAAGATAACAAGGTGTAGAGCTGGATGAACACAGCAGGCCAAGCAGCATCAGAGGAGCAGACCTTCTTCAGAAATGGGGGAGGGGAAGGGATTCTAAAATAAATAGAGAGAGAGTGGGAGGCGGATGGAAGGTGGATAAAGGAGCAGATAGATGGAGAGGAGACGGAAAGATCAAGGAGGCGGGGATGAGGCTGGTAGGTAGGAGGTGGGAGTGGCAGTTGAGGTGAGATGAGCGGATAGGTGGGAGAAAAGACGGACAGGTCAAGGAGGTGGGGACGAGCTGGGCTGGTTTTGGGATGAGTTCGGGGGTGGCGAGATTTTGAAGCTTGTGAAGTCCGCTTATTAGTACTAACACTAATATTAATACTAATTAGTATTAATACTTTAAATAGTCCACGGATGAACTGCAATGTTTTGATGGGTAGTTGAACATGAAATTTAGATCAAACGTTAAGGGATTAGAAATTATACAACTAGTGGCCAATAATCTGATTTGTGTATTAGGAAAGCAACAAGGAAGTACAGAACTAGTACATGGTCACACTGGCAAAAATTCAGTTACAAAAGAAGAGGCTAGAACTAGAATTTCAAAGAGCCAAAGAGGAAAGGGTAAGAGAGGAAAGAAAAAGGAGGACAGGAAGGAGAAAAAGAATTTCAGAGAAGAAAATTAGAATGATTGGAAATGGTGAGAGAAAAAGTGAACAAAATTAGATTTCAAAGGAAAGATGGAGAGGTAGGAGAGAGAGAAAGGGTATTCTAATTAAAAAGGCTGGAACAAAGAGGGGAGGATTCCTTGAAAGCAATGGAACAGTTGGGGACCCATCTACCTCCATCTCTGGAACTAGCGTAGAGTTGTTCAATGTTGTAGAAGCAATCCTAAAGTTTGAAGAAAAGGGACAAAGTGGTATTCTTCAAATTATTTCAAAAAATACTCAAGGAAATGAAGTTGCCCATAGAAAACTGGACATTGGTCAAGCAACGCAGGCTGGGCAGCAAAGCCGGTAACGTTTACATCACGCGTTTTGAGGAGTTTTCTGTGGATTTTAGGATGGCCTAAAAGACTGTTCTCCATTCTTGTGGTTATTTCCTTAGGTTTATAGGCAGAAATTTTCAAACCTCTGGAAGCAGTTTGGACAGATCTACATCAAGGTTAAGGGAGTAAAATAGCTGGTTTTAGTGAATTGTATCAGCAGGGTGTATACATACTTTTGTATCAGGTGCACATGAGGAAAGTCTAATGTCTGGTCTTGCTTGTGGATACGTTTGACGTACATTTCTTTATTCATTGGATGTGGGCATCTTGGTTGGGCCAAAATTTATTGTGCATTCCTAATCCCAGTTAAGAGTTAATCAAATTTTTGTGTGTCTGGATTCATATATAGGCCAGACTAGGTAAAGATGGCAGACTTCCTTCCCTAAAGGGCATTAGCAAGCCAGATGGGTTTTTAAAACAATCAACAGTGGTCATCATTAGGCTAGTTTTTCCTTTTATTGAATTCAACTTTCACTATAGTGGGATTTGAAACCATATCCTCAGAACATTAGGTTGGGATTCTGGATTACAGTCCAATGACGCCTCCACTCCACCACTAACATTTCCTTTATGGGAAATGACTTGGTGGAGATGAAGGTAATAAGATATAGGAGCAGAAATTAGGCCATTCAGCCCATTGAGTCTGCTCCACCATTCAATCATGGTTGATAAGTTTCTCAATCCCATTCTGCCTCTTTCTCCGCGTAACCCATGATCCCCTTGACAATCAAGAACCTATCTATCTCTGTCTTAAATG